ATGGGAATCTCCCCTGGATTTGCGAGCCTCGTCTGTGCCACCAGTGCCACCCAGTGCCAGCGGCCGGGCGGCGGTGACAAGGGAATTGACATATACGTTTATGGTAATTGGACTATGTGTGTGTGTGTGGAAGGGGGGGGGGGGGGGGGGGGTGGAAGGGTGGGGGAGGGGAGGAGAGAGGAGGGTGGTTGTCTCTGTGTGTGCGTTGGGAGAGAATGGGCGGGGGAGGGGGGAGGGGAGAGTGAGGGGCGGAGGGATGAAGAGGGGGAAGTGAGGGGTGGAAGGATGGGAAGAGGGAGGGGGGGTGAGGGCGGAGGGATGGGGAGGCGAAATGAAGGGCGGAGGAATGAGGAGGGGAGGGGAGGGGAGGATGGCAATGTGTGTGTGGGAAGGGGAGGGGAATGGGAGGGGATGGGGGAGGGGGTGGTTGTGTGCGTTATAATGGGGGTAGAGGTGGAGTAGAGGGGAGTTGGAAGGGGTTGTTTTCAGTAGTTGTCTGAGTGGGAGAAAGTTTGTGCACAGGAGAGGGAGAGCTGATTGGGGGTAAGGTAGTATTTGTGTGTAAATACACATGCATATATACATATACATATATATATATATATATATATATATATATATATATATATATATATATATATATATATATATATATATATATACATATGTATACATTTTTTGGGGGTGTCGGTTTTCCTTTGCGTTACTATGCTTCCTGTGCGGAGGCATTCTGTGTACATAAGTATATACACATAAACACACAGACACGCAGACACACACACACACACACACACACACACACACACACACACACACACACACACACACACACACACACATATATATATATATATATATATATATATATATATATATATATACATATATATATATATATATATATATATATATATATATATATATATATATATATATATATATATATATATGTATGCATGTATGTACACACACACACACACGCACACACACACACACACACACACACACACACACACACACACACACACACACACACATATATATATATATATATATATATATATATATATATATATATATATATATATACATATATATATATATATATATATATATATATATATATATATATATATATATATATATATATATATATGTATGTATGTATGTATGTATGTGTGTGTGTGTGTGTGTGTGTGTGTGTGTTTATGTGTATATACTTATGTACACAGAATGCCTCCGCACAAGAAGCATAGTAACACAAAGGAAAACCGACACCCCCCCAAAAAAAAAAATCGAAGAAAGCGAAACACATCCAACTCGAGACATTTACCCCCCCCCCCCCCCCCCACCCCACCCCATCCACAATCCAACCCACGCCCACCTCCCACCCATAACACACACGCCCACAAACCATTCGTGCGCGGAAATTCTCGGCGATGGGCGCGCGGACGAAGAAGGGATGGCCGAAAGGGGGAGGCGAAGAAGGAGAATGAAGCAATCTTATTATCTTTTATTTTCATACCGAATGGGGGGAAGAGGCGAGTCATGATAGGCTAGTCCCCCCTCCCTTCCCCTTCCCCCCACTTCCCCCCTCCTTCCCCTCTCCCTCCCCTTGCCGGTGTCTAGCAGTCTTATAGCTATATAAAACCACGATATAAACTTATGTGATGACCAGTTCTATGGCTATATATAGAGGCTTGCCAACGGCGTCAGGGTGATATCATTGACTTCTAATAAAAGTGATAAGGGAGGATCATTGATGCTATTTATGGGCGGTGGTTGTGTCTTTGTTTTTGTTTTTTTGTCCTTGTTGCTGTTGTTGTTGTTCTAGTTGTAGTTGTTGTTGTTGTTATTGTAAATTTTGTAGTTGTTGTTGTAGCTGTTGCTATTGTTGTTTTTGTTATTGTCTTTGTCATTTTTGCTATTTTCATTATTGCTGCTGCTATACAGAAATAAAGAAAGATTAAGACTGCGAACGGGAGATAGACAGGGAAGAAGAAAAAACAAAGAAAAAACAAACAAATTATAGACAATGTGAGTCAAAGATAATATGAAAGTAAACGATATTGATATGAAAATGACAGGTAACGCAATAACAAGAGAACGAGAGCGATAAAAATGGAAATGGAAAAGAAAAGAAAACATTGACATATGAACAATAACAAAAACCAAAACCCAAAACAAAACAAAATCAAAATATAATAAAAATAAACAGTAAAACGAATGTGAAACGAATTGACGAGCAAGAAACCATTTCAAAAAAGATTTTTTCCAAAAGCTCAGCTCGGCGAACACACACGACTGCGACCACGAAAAACGACACAGATTTCCAAATGATAAGACGAAAGAAAACGAAAACAAAGGCCAGAAATTTAATAAGAAAATAAAGCTGAAATTATCACACATCTTCCTCATTAGCACTGCGGCGTTGCGTGCATGTCCACTTTTTTTTGTCTTTTTTTTCTCCTCTTATTCTTCTGTTTTGTTTTCATTCCTT